ACCTAATAAAAAAATGGGCCAAAAAACTGAACAGGCATTTCTCCAAGGAAGACATACAGATGGCTAACAAACACATGAAAAGATGCTCAACATCACTCATTATCAGAGAAATGCAAATCAAAACCACAATGAGGTACCATTACACACCAGTCAGGATGGCTGCTATCCAAAAGCAATAAATGCTGGAGAGGGTGTGGAGAAAAGGGAACCCTCTTACACTGTTGGTGGGAATGCAACTTAGTACAGCCACTATGGAAAACAGTGTGGAGATGTCTTAAAAAGCTGGAAATAGAACTGCCATATGACCCAGCAATCCCACTTCTGGGCATACACACCGAGGAAACCAGATCTGAAAGAGACACGTGCACCCCAATGTTCATTGCAGCACTGTTTATAATAGCCAGGACATGGAAGCAATCTAGATGCCCATCAGCAGACGAATGGATGAGGAAGCTGTGGTACATATACACCATGGAATATTACTCAGCCATTAAAAAGAATTCATTTGAATCAGTTCTAATGAGATGGATGAAACTGGAGCCCATTATACAGAGCGAAGTAAGCCAGAAAGATAAAGACCATTACAGTATACTAACACATATATATGGAATTTAGAAAGATGGTAATGATAACCCTATATGCAAAACAGAAAAAGAGACTCCGATGTATAAAACAGACTTGTGGACTCTGGGAGAAGGCGAGGGTGGGATGTTTCAAGAGAACAGCATCGAATAACGTATATTATCTAGGGTGAAACAGATCACCAGCCGAGGTTGGGTGCATGAGACAAGTGCTCGGGCCTGGTGCACTGGGAAGACCCAGAGGGATCGGGTGGAGAGGGAGGTGGGAGCGGGGACCGGGATGGGGAATACATGTAAATCCATGGCTAATTCATTTCAATGTATGACAAAAACCACTGCAATGATGTAAAGTAATTAGCCTCCAACTAATAAAACTAAATGAAAAAAATAAAAAATAAAAAAAAAGAAGAAAAAAAAAACAGATTACTTTTCCTAATAGAATGCTGGGTTCTTGAAACATTTTAGTTGAGCTTGGAATTTAAGCATTCTTGGTAGCACTAGCTGTGGGTGAAGTGCTCTGCTGGATAGCAGAATTGCTATCCTACTCCACAGCAAAGGACCAACATTCCCAGTACAAAATTTAGAGAACTCATAACGAATAGCATTTCCATGGGTGCAATGGTGATTATGCTTTACAAGGGCAAAAATGTATCTCCTTGGTCACCTCTGTATTCCCATGACTGATTACAGCACAAGGCAGTAGACACTTGGTAAATGCTTGATGGACAAATAAATGAATTGACAAGTTGAATAATACCACAGATGCCACTAGTAACCTTATTTTTGTGTAGTTGGATTTGGGGGGATTTGGGGCCATTCAAAGAGAGTGGATAATGTTGCTTGACATTCAATTATTTACTGTGTTCCATTCAGCTCAAATTGTGATAATTTAGTCATTATTTGGCATGTGAGAACATGGAAGTCATTCATAGACTCGAATGGTGTGTATTCTGATATGGTTAACAACATTAGGTACTGGTATTTGTTTTATGCATTTGGGCACTCCTATATTAGGTGAATATATAGTAACAAGTGTAAAATCCTCTTCTTGCCCTGATCTTTTTTCCATTATACAGTGACCTTCTTTATTTCTCTTTATGGCCTTTGTTTCAAAGTCTATTTTATCTGATATGAATATTGCAACTCTCACTTTTTCTTTTCAGTTTGCATGATATGGCTTTTTCCATCCCCTCACTTTCCAATGTATGTGTGTCCTTTGCCTTAAGGTGGGTCTCCTATACACAGTATATTGTAAGCTCTTGTTTCTTTGTCCAGTATGCCACTGTATGACTTTTGATTTCAACATTCATCCCACTGACATTTGAGGAGAGGAGAGGGTGATGGATTGGAAGTTTAGGATTAATAGATGCAAAATTTACATTTAGAATGGATAACACAAGATCCTACTGTATAGCACAAGGAACTATATCCAATCTCCTGGGATAAACCATGATGGAAAAGAATATAAAAAATAATGTGTATATGTATATATCTGAGTCACTTTGATGTACAGCAGAAATTAACACAACATTGTAAATCAACTATACTTCAATAAAAATAGAGAAAACAAAAACAAAGATATTAGTTGGACTCAATATAGCAGCCAGATCCCCACAGTTTCCAAAGACAAGAAACTGAGAGAAGTTGATTCTGAAAAATAAGAAGTTGTTGCTGGGAAGGAACAAGTACAAGAAAGAGTTTAACTAATTTTTTGCTAGATGAAATATGTTCACTTTTCTGGTTGCAGCCCAATGAGCAAGTGTCAGGTTAAATTTTGAAATTTGAAAAAAAAAAGCATGCAGGAAGTATTTGCCTTTCATAAATGGATACTAATGATGTATGTTATTGCTATCCGATGATTCTAACACAAGCATTACTTATTTATAATGAAATGTTAACAGCAATATCTGTTAACTTGGATAACAGCAATATCTGCTAACTTGAGACCATGCCTACATCACTTATGTCAAATAACAGCAAAGTCCCTTAGAGATGTATGGGTGCCATTCCTAAAAGGCAGTATGGCTTAAACAAACAGAAGATGGGCCAAGTTTTCAAAATTCAACAGAGAAGTTAAATGCTGATTTATGTGACTGTTCCTAGAAGTCTGAGCTTTTCCAAGATGATCTATACTCAAAAACTGTTGGAGCTTAAGCAGCTCTAGAAACTAAAGAATAGTTGAAGGATAAAAAGAAAATAGATTATAACTGTGAAACATGACTGTATTATATACTAAAATAAGAACTGTAGAATAACCAACTACCTCACTCTTCTATCCTTTTCATAATTTATATTATGTTTCCTCCTGCATTATACTAAATGATCCTCAGAGCAGCAGGAAGAAAATATTTTACCATTCTACTGAGGAGAAAGTGAGACCCAAGGAGATGAGGTAATTTGCTCAATGTCATAAATCCAGCAATTAATCATTTACTTCATTGGTTGCCATGAGAGTTTGAGTCCAGGGAAGATAGACTAAAATAATACATTTCTATCTCATCCAGAACATTTCGCTTGGTAGACAGATGTGTCCAAGCAACCATTGGTTCAACAATCTGTGTGGTATGGATCACAGGGCCAGACTAAGACAGACCCTAGGCTGAGTTGTCACAAATGTGATGGCAAATAGTAAATAACTGCAAAACGAAACATCTTAGGAAATTGATATTTCCTCAGCCTACACTAAATATTGCCTCAAAAATGTTAACTTATAATGGCCACACTTAGGAAAGAATAAGTAAAATAGCAAAAGACACCGATATTTCTAAGCAAACTCATACATCTGGCCCTGTGTAAGGCACAGGCTTCCCACTGTTCCCCTCCATCTACCTTCCCATCTGTAGCCTATCCAAGAAAATGAAGGCTGTTTTCACAAAGTTCCCACAGTGGAGACAGGCTATGCACTTTAGAGTCAAAGAAACCTAGTGAGAAAAACTCCAACCCAGAATTTCTTGGACAGAGATGGGTGGTGACTCTCAGTACATGCAAGTCATTTTAATAAATATATGGGGGACCGGGATGGGGAATACATGTAAATCCATGGCTAATTCATTTCAATGTATGACAAAAACCACTACAATGATGTAAAGTAATTAGCCTCCAACTAATAAAAATAAATGAAAAAAAAAAGTCATTAAAAAAAATAAATAAATATATGAGTGAAAGGGGGATTCTGTAGCATAAGCTGAATTTTTTTTTGTAGATGTTATTACTTTCACAAAAACAGATCCATCTACTGTCTCTGGCAGCAGGAATATTTATAAACCCTTTACCACTACTACCCTCAGTCACCAACTTCCACAACATGAATTTCATACAGTGAGGTTCTGTATTATTGTCACCAAATGGAGAACTGACTGTTAAGAAACAGCATGTGTAAATGTGTCAGTGATGATTTCTAACTCAATCCCTTTGAGATTACTGTTTTTCTTTTCACTAGATCTGGGTTAGCCAGATCTATCTATCTATCTATCCTCCACCCACATTTCCAGCTCCCTAAACACATAACTACACACACACCTCTGCTTTTCTCCCTATGGATTTCACAGCTGGTAGCTGAAGAGAAACAAGTTTTGCACCGAGATCATGGTCTCAATTCCCTGGCCTGGGAGAATAAAAGATCTGGATTATTTCCGAGATTTTCTTTGAGCTTTCTGTATTTCTGGGTGTCTCATCATTTCTTACCTGCAAAACGGGATTTAAGGAGGTAGGTGTCCTGTATTTCTAATTTAGAATTGCTCTGGGATAGGACATTAATTTTTTTTTAAAATATCAATTAATGAAAAAATGTGTTGAGAGAATGAACCAAGTAACTCCAAACATGCTCTGAGTGTTCTTTAAAGGGAATGTATTATTGTAAAGGTACAGAACAGTCCTGGAATTGTGCTTTCAGGTCCTGGGTGGGTGCAGAGAGGAAGAAGCTTGCAAGGATGCCAAGTTACAGTTCCTGGCCCTGTGAGAAGCCAGGTTCACTTTTAAGAAACTAGAATCAGGGTCAGGGGCTATTGTGGCCTGGAAAGAGACAAAAAGACAGGACACAGCATGCTTCCTTCCAGTCTTGCTCTTATCTGATGGAGCAGAGAGATAGGTGGGAGCACGCTTGAAGTTCAGGAAAGGAGTTCTGAGTCTCAGGCCACCGGCTCCACCCCATTTCTTTTCTACCACTGGCAACTCCAACTTCTATTCCAGCACTTGGACCCCCTCCCTGTCCGTGCTCGGCCCTTCCCTGAGCCCCCCCATGATCTCCCACCCAGCTTGAGACTGCGTCTCAAGTATACCCAGACCTCGGCTCCCAGCAGTGTAAAAACAGAAGAGGAGAAAGAAGGTGCTGCTAGAGCTAGCGCTATCTTCTCCTCCTCCAACCTGCAGCCCAGAACACTGATTCCAGCAGCTCCTTACCGCGCAGTCCAAAGATTCACCATGATGAACATTGCTTTCAACACACCCACAGAGGTGCAAAAAGAGGACGCGCAGCAAGACGTGGAGGCCCTTGTAAGCCGCGCGGTCCAAGCCCAGATCCTGACCGGCAAGGTAGCAATCCCTACTCTTCCCCTAACTGCCTGCTACGGTCGGGAAGGCGGGGTGGGAGTGGTTTATAGAGAAGGAAGGGGAAAGGTGGAAAAGGAAAAGGAAAAGGAAATAGAAAAGAAAAGAAAACTACTCTGCAGTTCCTGTGTTCTCTGGCGGTGCTCCCTGCGCTGTCGGTTGGCTTTGCCCAGTCTCCCGCATTCTGTCTATTCGCACCACCTTCCGCTTGTGGTGCCCGCAAGTCCCTTAGCATCTCAGCGCTTTGTGCCGGGTTCCCAGATTGCATTGTACATCGCCGAGGAATGTCAGAGAGAGTCTAAGGAGAAGTCCTGGAACCAGATGTCACCTTCTCATGGGGGACAAGTGGGTGGCTAGGGATCAACGAGGAGGGAAAGTCACCCAGTCAACTTCAAGGGCACACATTTTCCACAGGGTGCGGAGTGGGATATGCAGAATGAGCAAGGACAGGAGATTTAACTCTTCTTTCTTCCCTTTTGATATGTATGAAGTTCTAGGAATCTAAGTCTTTCTAGGATCGCTGAGTGCTTGCGGAAGTGGAAGAGGGCAGCCTTGATTGGCTGCGGTATAGATTGGGACAAGGGTCTGTCTCTTCTCCCCCTCCCCCCTCCACCCAGTGTATATTTTCAGTTTCTCCTTAGCCATAAGTGGCCTTAAGCTTTGCGGCCTCCTTCTTTGGTAAAGGAACGGTCATAACTGAAGTTGGTCTTAATTAGAATTTGAGGTGTCCATTGTGCCCTCTTACTGCAAAAGCCTTGTGTTTTCCTAGTGGCATTTCCTGAAGGAAACATTCTTCTGTAGAAGAAATTTTCAGGTGTTTTTTCTTTTTTTTTCTCTCTCTCTTTTTTCCTTTCTAGTACAGTACTTCCTTTTTGAGCGATACCCCCTCTGCTCACCCTCCCCCATAGAAAGATCTGAAACAGGTCTGACCTTGTAATCTAATCTTCTAGCATTCCCAATAACTGGGGGAGTTTCTCCCCTGAAAATGTTAGCCATTGTCTATTTAGTCCATTTTCTATTTCCTTTAAACATCTAGCATGTTTTCAGTGTTTGTAAATTACACGTCATTTCCCTTGGTAAAATTTCAATGTTAAAACGTACAGTGATATATATATTTTTTTGTTCTACAAAGTCTGTGCAGTATTGGAGCTTGCAGATCTGCCCTAATTTGCCTTGCTCTCTCTGTAAAGATTGGAGTGGAGATTTGAAAAGACCTTTAAGTGAGATGAGAATCCATGTAATAAAACTGATTATGTACACAGTTTCAAATGCTAATGAGCCTTTGCAGAATTTTTTTCAGGGAAACTTTCAATAATTAACCCAGCAATCAAACTAGCTGTTGTTTATTGCACATTTCAGAACTCGAAAACACCCCCTTGTATTGTTGAGGATTTTTTTTGTAAATGATAGAAAGTCAAATATGTAATTGTCCTACTTACTTTGTAAGGGCCAGATTTTGCCAGGTGGTCTAATTAGATGCCAGCAGTTAAATATAGTCACAAAATAATCTTTTTTTCCTCTCATCACCACAAACTCCATTACTTGTTGAATTCACTTAATATGCAAGCAATATTTCTACTAGGCCTGTGGTGTTATGTAGAATAAACAAAATTGAGCATACACACTGTGATTATATTTTTTTATTAGGTGATGAAATTCCCACAGGATCCTGGCTTAGCCACTGTAAATCACTGATTCACTGATTCAATAATATTTGACACATTGTATTGTGATGTCTTGATAGGTTCATAGGAAATTGAACATGACAGAATAGTATGTCAGAGGTTGTGTACAATGACTTTAAAAAAATGTTCAGCAGGAAATGAACTGTGGTGACAACCCCCACCACAACGAAGTCTTGCAAATTTAAATGAAAACAAAATCCTGATTCCTAGTCCATTCTTCCATCCATGGGCAATTAGATTGTTTGCATATCTTATCTACTATGGTGGGAAATTTTATGAAATGAACACTATCGTACTTAAACCTTGTTTAATAAAATACCTGAAATATTGAAGGGAGAAATAAAATTGAAGTGCAGATTTTTCTTCTTGTATCTCAGTGAAAAGAAAAATAAATAAATAAATTCCTTTGGGAATTTCAAAGTAAGTCATTTTTGTAACTTATGAACATGTCACTTAATTTTTCTGGACCTCAATTAAATCATCTAAAATACGATTTCTAAGCCTGTAGCTCTAGATTACAGGTATTCACAATCATAATGTATAATATTTGTAGTATTTATCTAAGGTTATTTTTTAATAAAAATAATTTAAATTTCTGAAAATTATTAGGACACAGAAAGCCTTCAAGGCTTGTAAAGTATTAATAGAGGGCTTGAAAATAAATAAATGTAGCTAAGAAAATGTGAATACTAAATTTCTTTGAATTTTAAAGAGAAATAATTTTTTGAAACAGTTTATGAAATGATTGCCTCTCCTTGGAATCCATATATTTGTTTTCACCAAATTAACTAAAGTTTAATTAGCATTAAGTAGTTATGGAAAAGAGCTAATGGCCTGAAAGACTAAAACAATTCTACTTACATACCCGTTTGAATGATTATCAGAGAATAAATTTGCTGACTTTATTCATTCTACCCTTCAGTAATATTGCTGCTTAGGACATTGTGACTTTAAAGAATGGAATTGAAGGGCCCCTTGGTCCACTGCCCTGAGAAGAGTACAAAGTTAATTGGTTGCTTGTTTGCTTTGGATTCTTTTGTTCCAGTTACTAAACAAAATGCATGCATATTAAGTCACTTCAGTCCTGTCAACTCTTTGGAACCCCTTGGACTATAGTCCTCCAGGCTCCTCTGTCCATGGGATTCTCTAGGCAAGAATACTAGAGTGGGTTGCCAGGCCCTCCTCTAGGGATGTCTTCCCAGCCCAGAGATCGAACCTCATGCATCAGCAGGAGGGTTCTTTACCACTAGCTCCATCTGGGAAGCCCAAACAAATGATAGATTTAACAAAATTTTACAGTCGCTTTTACACACACAGCTTTATTCTTAAGTATCAATGTACTTTAAATCCAGTGTTTTGCCCAGAACGTAAAAAATGTTATTTTATTAAAAGCAGTACTCAGCCATATAATATTGGGTGACATTAGGAAGCCAAATTTCTCATTAAAATTAGTAGGAAGTTGCTGTATAACACAGGGAGGTCAGCCTGGTGCTCTGTGACAACCTAGAGGGGTGGGATAGGATGGGAGTGGGAGGATGGTTCGAGAGGGAAAAGACATATGTATATTTATGGCTGATTCACATTGTCGTATGGCAGAAACCAAACATTGTAAAGCAATGTAAACACATTGTAAAGCAATTATTCCCCAATTATAAAAAGAGTTATGAAACAAATTTCATCTTCAATATTTTAATTTCTAAAATGGTATATACCTACTTTATAGAACTCCTTCCTTCCTATAGAAGTTAATTTTCAAAAAACAGCTTTCTGAAAATCATTTAATAAATAAAAGGCTGTTAATTCACTTTTAATTTGGCAAATAAGTTGATATCCAAAAAATACTAAAGAAACTATTGTATTCCAGAAAGTTAGTGGTTATATCACTGTACAAGTGCAGAAAGTAACAGGTTCCATTTATTTAAAGAGGATAACTTATTGCATAAATGTATGGCTATTTTCAGCTGATTTTAGAAGTATATACTTTGAAATAACTTTATATTTGAATTTGGAAATGCCAGAAAAAAGGTTATTATGAATTGGAGATTTTCACATCTATTAAACATCAAGAAGTGTCTTGAAATGATTTTTAGGCTAGGGTGACTTAACATCTATCTAAAATATCTTGGGTTTCAAGGGCAGTAAAATGTATACAAAAGCAACTATGTGTCTAAAAGCACAATTTGTTTTCTTTGTTTGTTTGTTTGTTTTTAATTTTGCTTTTGAATGAATAGGAACTCCAAGTTGCTGCCAAGGAAGAAACATGTTCCTCTGGGAGATGTATGCTTTTTCCTCTTAGGCCTTTCATTCATCTTGGCAGGACTTATTGTTGGTGGAGCCTATACAAGTACTTCATGCCAAAGGTAATATTAATGAAAGTTATTATCTTTTGGATTACTAATTGTTACGTATTTAGTGGAAACAAATAATTCTGTGATGGTCAACAGAAAAACAATTTAGGGAAAGTTTTCAAATTACCTTTCAGTATAAAAATGATTTGTCTTCATGGTGATGGCTGTAATCAACAATCTTCAGCTTGATAACTGGTACAGCAAACTGATTTGAGCTTGAGAAATGGTTTAAATGTCAAGGTAGTGAATGTTAGAAAGTTTTGATTGTCAGTTTTTGTCTTTTAGAGTACCATCTACCATGGAGAAATGTGCTTCTTTGATTCTGAGGCTCCTACAAATGCCCTCCAAGGAGGGGAACCCTACTTCCTGCCTGTGATGGAAGAGGCTGACATTCGTGAGGATGACAACATTGCAATCATTGATGTGCCTGTTCCCAGATTCTCTGATAGTGACCCTGCAGCAATTATTCATGACTTCGAAAAAGTGTGTTTCTCATTCTTACAGATATTTCTGAATTTCTTTTTTCCTTAAATTTATTGGTATTAAATATGTTGATAAATGTAACTTTTTGCAGCAGAGCCTTTTTCATTCTTTTGCTATTGAATATACATTAATTGATTTTGAAAGGTTGTAGATGCTTATTCTAATGGTCGTTGGAAAATCTGCAGCACTGATGCTCTCTAAATCATACTTAACATTTTCCCCTCGCCAACAGGGCATGACTGCTTACCTGGACTTGCTGCTAGGGAACTGCTATCTGGTGCCTCTGAATACCTCCATTGTTATGCCTCCAAAGAATCTGGTGGAGCTCTTTGGCAAACTGGCAGTATGTATTTTGGATGTCCACTCTTTCAAATAATATTGCTTCCACATTTTAAAAAATTAATAATTTGAGCCAAAACATTCCATTTCACTGAAATAATTTTCAAATAAAAAATATTTCATGAGCTTAAGACTGTTCTAAAAGCAAAGTCTATATTAAAAGTGTGTCTGCTATAGGTGAGAATTTAAAAAGTGGTTTTAAGAATTTCTCATTTCAGGCTTTAAAAATTTTTTTTACAGTGGCAAATACCTGCTTCACACTTATGTGGTTCATAAAGATCTGGTTGCTGTAGAAGAGATTCGTGATGTTAGTAACCTTGGCATATTTATTTACCAACTTTGCAACAATCGCAAGTCCTTCCGTCTTTGTAGAAGAGACCTGTTGTTGGGTAGGCAATTAATTTCTTCCTTCACCTTATGTTATTGAGACAGTGAAGGAGAGTAGGAGTGGAATGCAGAGAAAATAGAGAGCAAATTTAGATATATTTTTTATTTACAAAAAAATGAAAAATCCATTTTTTTGTGCATTTCCTCACAGGTTTCAACAAGCGTGCCATTGATAAGTGCTGGAAGATTAGACACTTCCCCAATGAATTTATTGTTGAGACAAAGATCTGTCAAGAGTAAAAGGCAACAGGAAATGAGCATATTTAGTTATAGGATCAGAGATTTACTATATGACATCAACATTAAAGTGTGTGGGATACTCAAGATATTTATTCATGCATTTACTCTATGGCTTATATTTTTTTAAGGGGAAAAAAAGAACTAGTAACCACTGCAAGCTTTTGTCAAATTTTAATTTAATAGGCATTACTAGTTGTTTGAAATGGCAGTGAAATAATTCTTACCTTTTTCTTTTGAATTTATGTGGTTTAGATATCTTAAAGCAGCATGAACGTGTCAGCTACAACACTGACAATGAATTCTATCCTTTGTATGTGTGTGTGTTTCTAAGTAAGCTCTTTAATCATATGGTAGAGCATGTTTTGAATTTAAAATATTTAAATTTTTTGACCTTTTTGTGTAAAGCATGCCAAATTGCTCAACATTGTTAAGTTTCATTTTGTTTCTCATTTTGTGCAACTTTCTTGAATTTAGAAATTATATCTTTACATTTCTGTTTGGTGTTCTGTAATAGATCTGACTTATATGTGAAACACTTTCCTAAAGAAGTTATTTTCAATATTGCAGTGATTTTTTTCTCACTGATAACAGTATTGTGAAATCCACAAAACTATGTAAGTACTACTGAATGCTATAAGGAATTTAGGTTTTATAAATTCTACAAACCTATAATAAATGTTACCATATTTGACTAGTGCTCATTTGAGGGATACATAGCATGAACAATTAGCATTACTTATTAAGCTTTGGTATACCTGCAATAAATCTAAAATTATGAACCTAGCTTTGCCTTTACTCCCGTGTATGCTAAGTCGCTTCAGTCATGTCCGACTCTTTGCAACCTTATGGACCATTGCCCGCCAGGCATGGGATTTTCCAGGCAAGAGTACTGGAATGGGTTGCCATGCTCTCCTCCAGGGGATCTTCCTGACCCAAAGATTGAACCTGCATCTCTTACGTCTTCTGCATTGGCAGGCAGATTCTTTACCACTAGTGCCACTTTACACATTTATATTTTATAATTTCATAGTTTAACCTCCTCTTGATATTATATCAATTACTCATGTATAAAGGCCCCATAATTGGCCTCCTTGTAAATTCAACTATTTGTTAAGAGCCTTCAAGTCTATAGCAATTTCTGACCTTTAATGTATTTCCTTTTTAATAAAAATATAAGCAATCGTATACAACTACAATAGGTCAATAAGAACTCACCATGGTTAAGATATTGATGACTTTTAACAACTTCACATGTGATCTCTACTCTAAGAGTATAAACTCCGTGCAAAGGGGGCTATTACTTTAGATCAGCAGTCTCCAATCTTTTTGGCACCAGAGACTGGTTTTGCAGGATACAATTTTTCCATGAACTGGTGGTGGAGAGGTGGTGATTTTGGGATGACTGAAGTGCATTACATTTATTGTGCACTTTGTTTCTATCATTATTACATTGTGATGTATAATGAAATAATTATACATCATTTCATTACTCACCATAATGCAGAATCAGCTGGAGCCCTGAGCTTGTTTTCCTGAAACCAGCTGTGGGTGATGGACGACAGTGACACTCACGAAGTGAGTTGCTTATGTCTGGTCTACTCTGTAATCTTGTTTCAGTTGCTGTTACTGCGGAAAACCCTGCTTCTCAAAGATAAGATGTTGGAAATGGAAGCAGGCTTTTCAGTGCTTTTGTGGCAATCTCAAAATATTTTGCCTTGACTTTAATCTAGAATGTATGGAGATATGAAGCTAGCTCAAACATTCTTCTTTTTTGAAATTTATTTATTTTTTAATTGAAGGATAATTGCTTTACAGAATTTTGCCTTTACTGTCAAATCTCAACATGAGTCAGCCATAGATATATATATGGGCCCGCCCTTTTGAACCTCCTTCCCATTTCCCTCCACATCCCACCCCTCTAGGTTGATCAAGAGCCCCTGTTTGAGTTTTTTGAGACATACAGCAAATTCACATTGGCTATCTATTTTACGTATGGTAATGTAAGTTTCCATGTTACTCTCAACATACAAAACACCCTCTTCTCCTCTCTCCCTGTGTCCATAAGTCTATTCTCAATGTCTATTTCTCCATTGTTGCCCTGGAAATAAGTTCTGCAGTAACATTTTTCTAGATTCTGTAATGTGCATTAGTATACAATATTTATCTTTCTCTTTCTGACTTATTTCACTCTGTATAGTAGGCTCTAGGTTCATCCACCTCATTAGAACTGACTCAAATGTGTTCCTTTTTATGGCTGAGTAATATTCCATTGTATATATGTACCACTACTTCTTTATCCATTCATCTATCAATGGACATCTAGATTGCTTCCATGTTCTAGTTATTGTAAATAGTGCTGCAGTGAACAACAGGATACATGTGTCTTCTTCAGTTTTGGTTTCCTCAGGTTATATGACTAGGAGTGGGACTGCTGGGTCATATAGTGGCTTTAATCCTTTTTTTTTTTTTTTTTAAGGAACCTCCGTACCATCTTCCATAGTGGCTGTATTAATTTACATTCCAACCAACCAGGCAAGAGCATTCCATTTTCCCCACAATCTCTCCAGCATTTATTGTTTGTACACTTTTTGAGGATGGCTATTCTGACCAATGTGAGGTGATATCTCATTATAATTTTTATTTACGTTTTTCTAATAATGAGCAATGTTGAGCATCTTTTGATGTGTTTGTTAGCCATCTTTATGTCTCCTTTGGAGAAACGTTTGTTTAGGTCTTTTTACCCACTTTTTGATTGGGTTGTTTATTTTTCTGGTTTTGAATTGTATGAGTTGCTTGTATATTTTGGAAATTAATCCTTTGTCAGTTGTTTCAGTTGCTGTTATTTTCTCCCTTTCTGAGGGATTTCTTTTCCCCTTGCTTATAGTTTCCCTTGCTGTGCAAAACTTTTTAAGTTTAATCAGGTCCCACTTGTTTATTTTTATTTCCATTACACTAGGAGGTGGATCACAGAGGTTCTTTCTTTGATTTATGTCAGAGAGTGTTCTATGTTTTTCCTCTAAGAGTTTTATAGTTTCTGGTCTTAAATTTAGGTCTTTAATCCATTTAGATTTGATCTCTGTGTTTGGTGTTATGAAGTGTTCTAATTTTATTCATTTAGATATAGCTGTCCAGTTTTCCCAGCACCATTTATTGAAGAGGCTGTCTTTGTCCCATTGTATATTTTTGCTTCAAAACTAAGGTACCCATAGGTGTATGGGTTTATTTCTGGGCTTTGTATCTATTTGGCCTATATTTCTGTTTTTGTGCCAGTACCACACTGTCTTGATGACTATAGCTTTGTAGTATAATCTGAAGTCAGGAAAGTTGATTCCTCCAGATCCATTCTTCTTTCTCAAGACTGCTTTGGCTATTCGGGGTCTTTTGTGTTTCCATATGAATTTGAAAGTTTTGTTCTAGTTCTGTGAAAAATGCCATTGGCAATTTGATAGGGATCACATTGAATCTGTAGATTGTGTTTGGTAGTATCATCATTTTCACAATAATGCTTTTCCCTACCAAGGAACATGGAATATCTCTCCATCTGTTTAGATTGTCTTTGATTTCTTTCATTAGTGTCTTATAATTTTCTGTGTACAGTCCTTTTGTCCCCTTAGGTAAGTTTTTTCCTAAACACTTAATTCTTTTTGTTGCAATGGAGAATGGGATTGATTCCTTAATTTCTCTTTCTAATTTTTCATTGTCAGTATATAGAAATGTAAGTGATTCCTGTGTATTCATTTTGTATTCTGAAACTTTGCTAAATTCACTGATTAGCTCTAGTAATTTTCTGATACTATCTTTAGGGTTTTCTATGTGCAATATCATGTCATCTGCAAAACAGTGACAGCTTTACTTCATTTCTAATCTGGATTCCTTTTATTTCTTTTTCTTCTCTGATTGCTAGAGCTAGGACTTCCAGAACTATGTTGAATAATTGCAGTGAGAGTGGACACCCTCATCTTGTTTCTGATCTTAGGGGGAATGCTTGCAGTTTTTCACCAATGAGAATAATGTTTGCTGTAGGCTTATCATTTATGGCCCCTACTATGTTGAAGTAGGTTCCTTCTATGTCCATTTTTTGAAGACTTTTTATCATAAATGGCTACTGAATTTTGTCAAAGGCTTTTTCTTCATCTATTGAGATTATCATATGGTTTTTATCTTTCAGTTTGTTAATATGGTGTATCACATTGATTGATTTGCATATAATAAAGAATCCTTGCATCCCTGGAATAAACCCAACTTGATCATGGTGTATGAGCTTTTTGATGTGCTGCTGAATTATGTTTGCTAAAATTGTGTTGAGGATTTTTTGCATCTATCTTCATCAGTGATATTGGCCTATAGTTTTCTTTTTTTGTGTTGTCTTTGTCTGGT